CCCACCCCCGCCACCATGGGTCAGAGCCACAGCTTTTAATTAAGGGGAAGAAGGGTCTGCACATTAATATTAGGGTCTTCATAAACAGAGACATTTTTTAGTTATTAAGAAAAAATTTCTAAGCTACCTCATTCTCAAGTCGGTTTAAAGCAGCCTATTGAGAAAACACAAATATGAGAAATTGGAAAGAAATAAATTGTGGTTAGAACTCACGGAAACAGAAAGTAAAGTAGTGGTTGCCAGGGGCTGGGAGGTGGGGGAGGTGGGAGATGTTGGTCAAAGGGTGTAACTTTTGGTTATCAGATGAATAAGTTCTGGGGATGTAATGGATAGCATGGTGGCTATAGTTAACAGTGTTATATACTGGAAAGTTACTAAGAAAGTAGATCTTAACATTCTCACCACACACAAAAAAAGTATGTGAAATGATGGATGTGTTAACTAACCTTGTTGTGGAAATCATTTCACAATGTATACATGTATCAATTCATCACTTTGTACACCTTAAAAGTACACAGTATTATATGTCAACTACATCTCAGTAATGCTGGGTGGCAGGGAGAGGGGCAGAAATGGTGGTTAAGAGAAAATGAGGGTAGGACAACACAAGTAAGCCGTGGCTACGGCTAGTACAAAACAGAAGCTGCTGTATGGCCGCAGAAGCAGGCACACACCCAGCTCTGAGCTTCCTAGCGGCCCGTGCAACAGGGGCATGTGAGCAGTTACATGATATACTTAGGAGGAAAGAGAGATGCTTATGTAATGTTTATTGCATATATTTGTGTATTTCACTGCATCTAAGACAACATACGGCCTGCACACGCAAGCTAGGAAGCCCAGCAGCGAAGTGAGTCCCCGCGAGTCACGTTCCCCAAACAGACCATTCCTGTGCCACTGATGCGCTCTCTGTGCCCTTTAGACTGTCAGCTTTGTTGTGGATCTTCACAGAAAGGACACAGTAACGTGGTGGAGAGCAAGTGTCCTTGATCCCATCGCCCAGCTGCTCACAGAAGTCTTGTAGAGCCGTTGGTTGTGGTGGCTGCACCACACATGGGCACGTGGTTATAGAAGCTGCACAGTCTGTGCTTTAGGATGCGGCCCCAGGGATTGTAGCCTGCAGAGAACTTCGGGAACCAGCCATTTGTGAGTGTGTGGCGGTGGGGAATCCACCATTTTTAAATGTCAGTAAAGCACGCAGAGACATCGGAGTTTCAGAAAATTAACTGCCCCGGGCGCCTGGGTGGCTCCGCTGGTTAAAGGTCCAACTTTGGCTCAGGTCATGATCTCACAGTTCATGAGTTCGAGCCCCGCCTAGGGCTGTCTGCTCTCGGCACAGAGCCCACTTTGGATCCTCTGTCCCCCCTCTCTCTCTACCTCTCCCCCACTCACACACACATACACACAGTCTCTCTCTCTCTCTCAAAAATAAATAACCATTTAAAAAATTTTACTTCCCTTAGGGCCCTCCAGGATGAGGAGCTTTAAGCCACATCCCTGAGGACTGGCTGAGTTGACCCTGTGTGTACCCTGTATGCTTAGCTGTAAGTCAGCTAAGAGCAGAGCTTACCAAAAATGATGGCTTTCTGGCAGTAATTAGCATAGCAGGATCTGTGTCTAATAGAGCCATTCCTTTCCTCCCTGCCTTACACTTATTAGTTCAGCAAATACTTTGTGTTTTTCAGGTCTGTGTTATAAAATCCCATCCTATCTACACATACAGGTATCCTTATATTTCCATTTTCTGTTGTCAGAGTGATGCATCCGGCTTATTTAAAATGGATATCATGTTAATAAGGAGCAGTTTAAAAAAGGGAGGGAGGCACACCATATCTGATATTTTGTCCCATGAGACATTAATTTTTTGTCAACAGACTACTGCTACCGTCCTTCCTGCTTACAGTTGTATTAAGGTAGAGATTCCAGGCCTTAGAAACCAGAGGAGAGATCATGAGCTCTGCTTGTCTTACTTCCTAACCATTTTTTTCCTCTGAGTCACTGACTTAGGAACAGACAATAAAAGCTACAAACAGTCTTTTATCATTCCCATAGATTTCTCTAGACGATAAAGAGTGGATATGAGTCATTGCAAAAGTAGAACATTGTTGTAAAAGTATAACAGTGGTGGACTAAGATGTCTGCAGTCCATACATAATACCAGATTTATAAGGGATGGAGAGGAAATGAGGGTGCAGTTTAGAGGGGTGCCTCGCGGTCGAACAGTAGGATTGAGAAGAGAAGCGTCGCTTTCTTACTTGCCAGGACCATAAGTTCTATGCTAGGTCCGAACAGAATGCCATCAGTTTCAAGATAAAGAGGTAGGCATGAATCAGCTTCCTTTTTAGCGTGATCCTTGATCAGCTCCTCCTCAGTGTCGGTCGACCTTGAGGGTTTGAATTCACTGTCCTCTGTAAAGGAGCTGGGCCGGGCCCATCACAATACTGCTGGTATCCATAAAGTTTAGTACATTTGATACTGGTTTTTAAATCTGGCTGTTAAGAATCTGGCCTCTGCAGCCTCTCTCGCTGTTGAAAGTTCAGGACTCTGTAAATAACACTCTTCTGACCCCTGAGTTCTGAACCACTTGAAAAGTAGGACAAAAGAACAAAGGAAAGAGGAGCTGACAATATTGCCGTCAACTCTGATGAAGCTTATACGGGAGAATGTGGATTTTATTTGTAGACAGATGGGCGTCCTGCGTTTCAATCCTGGAATTCGAGAAATGTGACTACCCAGTCACGTCCAGCTCTGGCCAAGCCCCTCTCCTCCACCAGCACCACAGGCGGCGGGGACCTGCAGGACTGACCTCTGCTCCCTGGGGGGATGGGGGGCACTTATTCCCTCTGGGGAAGCAGGGAGCAGGTCGGTGCATGCCCAGTCCACCCCCAAACCCACCAATCCAGGAAGTCAGCCCTGCAGCAGGGGGATTATGCTGGTGCAGGACCCTGCAGAGGAGATGCCGAGAGTGGGGCCTAGTTCATGCCCAGAGAACTGTGTCTGAACCTCCACTCACATTAGCGGAGCTGGCGGTCAAATCCAGATGTTCCCAGGACTAACAATGACGGGATTGATTTTTTGGAAAGAGAACTCTCCCAGGTGACCTCTTCTAGCTTGATTGCCTGTCGCCACCCCAACCCCAGGTGCGTCATTCTTCAGTCCTCACCAACTCCGGCTCCAAACTATGGGGCTGAGTATCCGCCGGGATACAAGATAAATCTGATTCTATATTCTCAGTCATCTGATAATCGCAAGAAGAGAAGCTTCTCCCTCAGGGCACAAGTGGTAGGGATTTTTTGTTTTCTTTTTTTTCTTTTTTAGTGTATTTATTTTTTGAGAGAGAGAAAGAGAGCAGGGGAGGGGCAGAGAGAGAGAGAGAGAGAGAGAGA